CGGGCAGCATCTCTCAGACGCTCAGGCTCCTTGCACAAAGGCGCTGCTAAGGCTGCGTGCGTCGGGTGGGCGGGGCAGGGGAAGCCCCGCATTGTGTCTGCTTGGGGCTCTCCCGAGAGCAGACCCTGAGCTGAGGACCGAGCAGCGATGATCGCAGAGCAAGTTCCTGCAAGCACAGGCGGGGGACAGCAGAGAGCCAGGCGAGGACGCTGGAGATGGGCTGCAGCTGTGGGTGTCCAGGGAGTCCCCCCACCCCCAGTTAGGGACCCCTGAGGACTCTGGGGTGCAAGCCTCGGAGGCCTGCCCACCAGCCCCTGTGCCCCGGGGACTTGAGAGAGGCCCCAGGACGCTGACCGCCCCCCTGGCCAGCTTGAGAGCAAGCACCCCTGCGGCTGGACCAAGCCTTCGGGCAAGGAGAATGGACGTGCAGGCGCCTGCCAGGGGCTGGGAGAGGACTCTGCAGCCTTTAGGGAGCGCTGCAGGGCTGGGGCGGCGCATGGGGCGTCTGCTCTGGTCCTCTGCAGACTGGCCCCGGGGCTAGAGAGACATCCCTGGAAATGCTGTTGCCACCAGGGCAGTCAGTCCCAAGTGGAACCAGTAGACTTACGGATTTCCTGAGAAGAGGTTAAAGTTTACTTGCAGGCAGCTAAGCAGGGAACGCTAGAGTCTGCTGTCTCGGATGACTTCTAGGGACGATGTAGTGATAGTCGCTGCAGATGGCAGCCCAGGCTGTGTAGTGATAGTCACTGCAGATGGCAGCCCAGGCTGTGAACGGGCTTTTGCACACAGCGAGGCACCTCCCCTCAGCAGCTGCAGGGGGGAAAAGAAGGCGTCTCTGGTTTCTTAGCTCTGTGCAATTCCTTTTTTTTTTTTTTTAAGATTTATTTATTTGAAGGGCAGAGTTACAGAGAGGTAGAGGCAGAGAGAGAGCAAGAGGTCTTCCATCCGCTGGTTCACTCCCCTAATGCCCTCAACACTGCACCAATCCAAAGCCAGGAGCCAGCAGCTTCTCCTGGGTCCCCCACATGGGTGCAGGGGCCCAAGGACTTGGGCCATCCTCCACTGCTTTCCCAGGCCACAGCAGAGAGCTGGATGGGAAGTGGAGCAGCCGGGACTCAAACCGGTGCCCATATGGGTTGCAGACATTGTAGGCAATGGCTTTACCTGCTATGCCATAGTGCTGGCCCCAAACTCATATTTCTAATACCCCTTTTTCATCAACTTTTTAAAAAAAGATTTATTTGAAAGAGTTACAGAGCGGGGTTGGGGGGAAGGGAGAGAGAGAGAGTTTTTCCATTCACTGGTCCACTCTCAGTAGCCGGAGCTGAGCCAGGCTGAAGCCAGGAGCTGCAGAAGGGTCACCCATGTGGGTACAGCTTGGGCTGCTTTTCCCAGGCCATTAGCAGGGAGCTGGGTTGGAAGTGGAGCAGCCAGGACTCGAACCAGCACTCATATGGGATGCTGGTGCTGCAGGTGGTAGCTTGACCTGCTACGCCAGCCTGGCCGTTTCTGAACTTCTTGGCGTGCTCTCATACACCGTTGCTGTCAGAGTCTTGCCGTAGACTAGCAACACCTGGGAGCTTGTCAGGAGTGCAGAATCGGGGCCCACCCCATCGCTGCTGAATGAGCCCTGCATTTGACCTATATCTGCTGAGTCAGCATTTAACCAGTTGGGGGGGGGGCACCCCCTCCCCAGGGGAGTCCTAGGCATCTCCAGTGTGGGAAGAGCAGCTCTCCAGGACTGTCAGAATTAACTTCTAGAACACTGATGTGTTGGTGCCAGTCTTCAGCATAACACCTTTGAGGAGCTCCGCCTCACCCGGTTCATTGGCTGCCAGACAGTAGCGTGCAGCCTGGGGCTGATGGCTAAATGAGAACCTTGGGCAACTTGCAAAATGCAGCTTCGGGGCCACCCATTCTGTCCGAGCCAGGGTCTCTGGGGAGGCACCCGGGAGCCTGCCCTGTAAGCCGCATACCCAGTGACTGGTGTGCACCCTACAGAGAGAAGCACTGATCTGCCATGGCCCCCTGGCAGCCATGCTGAGCCCTCGCGCCCCCACCACTCACAGCTGCATTAATTGCAAGGCTCTTGAGGGCAGGGGCCAGGCAGGGCCGGCTGTTGTCCTCACCATTGCCCATTAAGCTCCAGCCACACGTTACGGCTAACACTCCCAGGTGCCCCGTGAAGAGGCTTGTACCAGAAACCCCATTGTGCCTATGAGAAGCCAGGCTCTGAGGGGTTTGCTGGCCTGCCCCGGGGTCACACAGCTGGCCCTGGGCAGAGCTAGGCTCAGCGCCCAGATCTTTCTGATGGCCTTGGATCCCCTGGTCCCCCTGAGCACGTGCTGGGCTTTCTCCGATCCCTGTGCTCGGCCCAGCTCTTGCACCCGCTGGTGATTAGCTGGTCACTATAAATAGCCCGAAAATCTACCGAGAGAGGAGAAAGAACCCATGCACCCCCAAAAAAGAAAACAAAAGCTGTTTCAAATTGGGGCTGGCACAAAGCACCCCAGGAAAGCTAAGGAGCGCCCCACAGAGCCGTGTACCGGGGACAGGCAGCGGTGGTGTCCGGCTGGGGCCTTGGGGGCGGGGTTAATGCAGGATTCACCTGCAGGAAGGCTCACGCCCCTGACAAACCAGGTCACTGACCACCAGTTTGCCTGTTGCTGCTGGCATTTCCAGCTCCACGGCCGGCCCCGGGGACCATGCAGCAGGCAGGTGGAGTGGCACCTCTGGAGGCCACACCCACAGCCGGGTCTCTGAAGACCAGGGAGGAGGGGCTTCAGCAGAGCAGAAGGGAACGAGTGAACGGATTTCCAGGTGTTCTTCAAGTCCCCACTGGGCTGGGCGCACCCCAAGTCTCCCTTTAGGCAGAGAGGGCTTGGGGTAAAAACAAGAGGAAGCGGCCTTATGACCCTCGGGCATCACCCCCTTTACCTAGCACCAGATCAAACTCCCAGGGGGCTTCAAAAAAGTTCATGGGAAAACGGAATTAAAAAGACAAGTGCGTTTTGGTGCCAACGTTTTGGAAAGTCTGGGCATCATTTCTTCATGAGCACACGTGTTGTTTCCATGTCGTTTGTGGCATGAGTGACACCTCCTATTCCTGTGTTCAATCCAAGGTACCTGGTGTTGGGGATGGGGGGGGGGCTCGGCAGCACCCTGGGTGGTGGTGGGAGCTGACTGGTGGCATCAGAGGACAAAGAGGCCCAGACCTGGGGTGGGGCTCCGAGCCTGTGACCCAAGGGGCCCCCCGGACACAGAGGGGGGGCCTGACCCCGGGGAGGGAGGCGCCCGTGCCCGGCACCCGTAACCAGCTCGCTGTCTGCCTGCAGGTTGTCGAGGACTGGAAGTACGTGGCCATGGTGGTCGACCGGCTGTTCCTGTGGGTCTTCGTGTTCGTGTGCGTCCTGGGCACCGTGGGGCTCTTCCTGCCTCCCCTCTTCCAGACCCACTCGCCCTCCGAGGGTGCCTAGGCCACCCGGCTGTCCACAGGCCCCTGGGGGAGTGAGCTGAGCACGGACAGGCGGGCAGGTGGCCGCCTGCTCCTGGGTCATGGCTCATGAGGCCCTCAGTGCGTACGTGACTGCCAGCCACTCAGGACGGGCGTGGAGCGGGCACCTGCGCTGCCCCCTTGCAGTGCCTTGCAGGAAACCCCAGCAGGAGGCGCCGGCTGTCTTCTTGTACCTGCAGCGGGAAGAAGGACATGGCCGCCGGCACCACCGTCGCCGCCCACCTCTCCAGCCCTGGCCTCCCACTGGGTTCTCCGCACCCTTAGTCCCTTGCCCTCTGAGGTCTTTCCTGGCTCAGAGCCCTTGCACCTGCTGTAACCTCTAACCGGGCTCTTCCTCATGCCTCCAAAGCTCTTTCCAGGTCTGTTCTCCCATGACACCTCCTCCGAGCAGCCCCCCAGAGCAGGGGAAACATTTCCAACCCCCTCCCTGCCTGCAGCTCTCGTTCAGCGGCTCATTGGTCACCCACATCTCACGCCGTGGAGTGCAAGCTCCATGACAGCAGGGCCTGGGACACAGCTCGGCACGTGGCAGGTGCCCAATAAATTATTCATTGAATGGATGTATGACTCCTCCTCCTCCTTGCAGCTCATGCACGGGTACCCTTCTTCCAGGCAGCCATCCCCGCTTCCCCCGCCTGCTCCCAGACGCTGCCACTCGGGCTGATGTCCTGAGTGGTTCCTCTACACAGTCTCGTTCACAGCCTGGCATGTAGCAGCATACGGGATATTAGTGGAACTGCAGAGAATTCTATTGGATTATAATACACAATAAAAGTGGCCGCATAATGCTTAGCTTGGTGAATTCTTAACACTTGAGTAGTTTTGTGTGGCAGGAGGCAGGAGCCATCTTTTTCTGTCCCTTTTCAGTCCCACTCCCTCCACTCCTCGCCCCTTCTGCACCTCCGCTGCCAGTCTCTTCAAGAGCACCATTTAAGTGCACTCGTGCGTGTGCAGGCTTTGCAGACTGGCAGAGCCCCTGAGACCCTTCGGAGGGTTGGGTTTGTTGGTTCGGCAGCTGAGCCGGATGCCCTTGTGTGGGTGTTGAAGCCCATTTGGACTCTTTCCAGTTTGGGCCAGTTAGGAATAGAATTGCTCCACGTTCACGGCTAGGATTGTGCCTGAACAAAAGTTTCCTTTTCTCCAGATACTCCTGGGTGTGATTTCTGGCTTATATGGCACACGCGCGTGCATACTTTTATAAGAAATGATCAAGCCATAATGCCAGTGGCGTCCTGGCCAGCAAAGCAGGAGGGACTCAGTTGCTCTCTGTCCTTGTCTGCACTTGGTATTAGCGTTTTTAAATTGTAGCCACTCTCGTGGCCATGGACAGGTACATCACCCTGGTTTGTATTTATATTCCTCGCAATGGCTGGTGATCTTGAACATCTTTTCGTGTGCTTTTGTTTTGTTTTCTGTCTATCCTCTTTGTTGAAGTGTCTGCTTAACTCTTGCTCATTTTAAAAATTGGGTTGCGGGGGCCGGTGCTGTGGCGTAGTGGGTAAAGCCGCTGCCTGCAGTGCTGGCATCCCATGTGGACACTGGTTCGAGTCCTGGCTGCTCCACTCCTGATCCAGCTCTCTGCTATGGCCTGGGAAAGCAGTGGAAAATGGCCCAAGTCCTTGGGCCCCTGCACCCATGTGGGAGACCTGGAGGAAGCTCCTGGCTCCTGGCTTTGGATCAGCACAGCTCCAGCCGTTGCAGCCATCTGGGGAGTGATCCAGTGGATGGAAGACCTCTCTCTCTCTCTCTCTCTCTCTCTCTCTCTCCCCCTCCCTCTCTCTCTCTCTCCCTCCCTCTCTCCCTCTCTGCCTCTGCCTCTCTGTAACTCTGCCTTTCAAATAATAAATAAGTCTTTTTTAAAAAACTGGGTTGTTAGTATCCTTACTGTCCAGTTTTGTTTATTTGGTAACTGCATTGAGGTAAAATTCACACAAGTTTAGCACCATAATCCAGTTTTGGTGCTCCCAGACCCACCTGTACCTATTGTTGGGTTGGATATGCAACTTGCAATATTTTCCAAATGGAAAACTTGTTTATAAACAGGAGAAGGAAAAAAATTAAATTTATTTGAACGACAGAGTTACAGACAGGGAGAAAGATCCTCCGTCCACTGGTTCACTCCCCAATGTCTGCAATGGCTGGGACTGGGCCAGGCCAAAGGCAGCAGCCAGGAGCTCCTTCCAGGTCTCCCACGTGGGTGCAGGGACCCAGGGATTTGAGCCAACCTCCGCTGCTTTCCCTTGTGCATTAGCAGGGAGCTGGGAGGAAGTGGAGCAACCAGGACTCAAACCCGCATCCAGATGGGATGTCACTCCGTAGACAGTGGTTTTACTCAGCTCCCTCCCCCGGAAATGACTCTGCCAGGAAAATGAGAGCACTTCAATGGGTGCTGGAGAGCTGGGCCCCCATTCTTGCATTTTCTGGGTTCTGAAAAATGCCCCCTTTGGGGGTCGGCAATGTGCAACACTGCCGTCCCATATCAGAGCGCGAGTTCCAGTCCCGGCTGCTCCATTTCCGCTAATGCACCTGGGAAGGCTATGCAAGATGGCCCCAGTGCCTGCTCCTCTGCACCCACAGGGGAGCCCGGATGGAGTTCCAGTCTCCTGGCTTGGGCCGGCCTCAGCCCTGGGTGTAGTGCAGCCATCCGGGGAGTGAAGCAGCGGATGCGTGAATGGAAGAGTCTCTCTCGTTAATCTGTTTTTAAGAAGTGCCAGCTTTGGTTTAACACAGGTGAGCAGCCCGCGTGGACATCAGACAGGTGCCTCCTCGTGGCCTCGTGTGTATTTTGCTGATCTTTCTCAGGAAAGAACATTGCGAGCCCCTGCTGCAAACTTCCAGCCTCCACGGCACAGCCTCAGCAGGCATCGCCTCGCAGCTGACCCCGTCCGCACCGACTCCCCGCGCCCAGCCCGGGTCGCAGGGGTCGGCGGGACCCAGCCCCAACACTGAGCAGCTAACCCCCCACCCCACCCCCGGGGCAACTCTGCAGCCATCGGCTCGGCGGCCGGGCGCGGTGGGCGCCCCCTGCTCCTCCCGGCTCGCCCCGCCCGCAGCTTCCCGCGGGGTCCCCGCCCCGCGGCGGCCCAGCGGGAGGAGCCTCGCGCGTCCCCGCAGCCCGCGCGCCCCCAGCCCGAGTTCTGCACCGGGAGCCGCGCGGAGACAGAAGAGGTCCCGGGCAGCCATGGGCGCTCCGCCGCCGCCGCCGCCGTCGCCGGTGCTACTGCTGCTGCTGCTACTGCTGCCGCCAGGTGCGGGTGCGGGGTCTGCGTGGACGCGGGGTGCCCAGCGGCTGCCCCGCGCCGGGGGCCTTTGTCCGTCTCGGCTCTGCGTCCGCGCCCCAGGCCCGGGGTCCGCCGTCCGCGTCCGCGTCCGCGAGCCGGCACCTGCGGCCCGAGGGGGCTGGAGGCCGGTCCCGGGATGGCCCGAGGGGCGGGTGTCGTGCGGGGCTGGGTCCCCTCGCGGTCTCTCCCCGCGCCCCTGGCGCTCCCCACCCGGGGGAGAGAAGCTGGCCCTTGGGCGGGCGGTGCCGAGGGATCCGGGCCGGGCGGGGCTGCCAGGGGGTCCCTGCGCGCCCCGAGCGCGTCTCCGCCGCGGGGCGGAGGCCATGCCCGCGTTCTTCGGCGCTGGGGCAGCCGAAGTTGGTCCCCGAGGACCCGTCGCTGGCGGCGCGAGCGGGAGCCTGCACGCGTCCTCTGCCGGGCGTGGCGCGGCGCGGGTGGCCACGGGTTTGTGAGCGGCGCGGGCGGGAGCTGCGGGGGGTACCTTGGCTTCCAAGAGGGCGGGTGACTACCCTCACCCAGCTCCGAGTGGGGTGCAGGGGGCTCCCCAGGCCTGCCGCCCCCACAGGCCCCAGGCGGAGCACCTGTGCCTGGGTGGCGCTGGGTGGCCCTGTCTCTCCATTGTGGGGGCGGCGGGGGGCAGCTACATCTGGGTGCAGGGTGCCCACAGTTCTTGCATTCTGACCCACACGCCCACACCGACCTTTTATTTTTTTCCCCAAGATTTGTTTTATTTATTTGAAAGGCAATTACAGAGGAGGGGGGAGGGAGAGGGGGAGAGATCTTCTATCCACTGGTTCACTCCCCAGATGGCCACAACCAACCAATGGCCTAGCGGGTAAGCCCCCTCTGTGGCACCCGCATCCCATATGAACACTGGTTCGAGTCCCGGCTGCTCCACTTCCAATCCAGCTCCCTGCTGATGCACCCAGGAAAGCAGCAGAAGATGGCCCAAGTGCTTGGGCCCCTGCACCCACGTGGGAGACCTGGAAGAAGCTTCGGGCTCCTGGTTTCGGCACAGCTTGCGACCACTTGGGGAGTGAACCAGCAATGGAGGATTGCTCCTTCACTCCCTCTCTCTGTAGTTCTGCCTTTCAAATAAAAAATAAATCTTAAAAAAAAAAATGGCCACAGTTTCCAGGGCTTGGCCAGTCAGAAGCCAGGAGTTGGACTCAGGACTCGAACAGGTGCCCATATGTGATGCTGGCGTGGCAGGCTGTGGTTTTACCCCTTGCACCACAATGCTGACCCCCGCACCCCACCCTTTTACACTGGATTCATTGATCGCCTTTATTTGGACAGGTAGAGAAAATGAGGTTTAGAGAGGCTAAGCCACTGCCCCAACTCCGCCAGCTCAGGAGTGGTTAGAGCCCAGGCTTCGCCCCCACTGGACGTGTGTGGCCTGGGCAGATCTCCCTCCACCTGGGTCTCCGTTGCTCAGGCTGTAACTCGAAGGAGCAGGAGTAGCCTCAAAATCTGAGAGTCCCCAGAGTCCCCCTCCCCAGCAGGCGCACTATGGGTGGGTGGGCAATGTCCCCGGTTGTGGGGGGGTATAAATATCCTCCCAGGGACTGACGGGGCTGCTCGCCTCAGTGGTCAGCGCCTCCGAGGCCGAGCACCGACTGTTCGAGCGGCTGTTTGAGGATTACAACGAGATCATCCGCCCCGTGGCCAACGTGTCAGACCCGGTCATCATCCAGTTCGAGGTGTCCATGTCTCAGCTAGTGAAAGTGGTGAGCACCTGAAGCCCACGCTGCAGTGGGGGTGGGGTGGGGGGTTGTGGGGTGTCCCCACCCCCACCCTGGACTTCCCCGCCCCCGGGAGGTGGAGCCCCTCACTAAGGCCAGCCTGGTATCTGCCCCATCTCTAGGACGAAGTAAACCAGATCATGGAGACCAACCTGTGGCTCAAGCAGGTAAGTGCTGCCCCCTGGTGGTGACTGCTTGGTTTGCTGTCAGTGATGAACCAAGCAACTCCTAGGGGTGGGTGTACTCCCATAGGAACCCCCTGGCCGGCTGATCTGTCTGGGCTTGGGGTCCCAGGCACTGCTGACACCCCCTGAAAGGACTCAAGGGCCCTTGCCCTTAGGTCACAGGTATAAAGCAGCCTGGAGAGACACAGGAGAGGGACCGACTCCCCCTTTACAACCAAATGGGGTGGACCTGGGGCTGCCCCCAGGTCCTTGGGGCAAAAGCAGTGCCAAATCCACCTGCTTCCTTTGCGCTTGCCAAAACCCCATCCTGGTCGTTGCTGGTGAGGTGGGCGTCTGGGCGCTGGGTT